GAATGGGCCACCCTTCCTTTGCTTTTTTTCATGAGGCCGTAAAAAAGTTATATCTGTGTAAAAAAAAAAAGCTGGAGAAATATAGACAACATGTTGATGTAGTTAGCTTTGCAAAGGGAATATTAAACTGAGATGCCCGTGGGTGTCGAAAGAGGCGACTAAGAGAGCTTATGGTGGAGGGATGGGCAGCAGCGTCCTTCTTAAAACATCTGTAAAAGCCTAACTGCGGTTGCCATCCAGTTTGCCAGTGGCAACTACTGGCAAAACTCCCCTTATGTTCAACAGTAGACAGTTAAGGGCTGAAATAATAAATAATTAAAAAAATATAACGATATCTATATATTTTAATTAAAATATTTATATACTGGTCCAATAACAAATATATTGAAAGTTTGTTGTCCAAAAAATAATATTGGATGGCAGATATTTAACATATACGAAAATGAATATCCAACTGATATGGGCGATATCGAAATGGGTGATGACCTTTTTTCGTCTCAATGTTCCGAGGAACCCAATATATAGATATCGGATCGGTATCCATATTACCCATTTTATTATATTATTGCCGGTTGTCATTAGAAGTATAAAATCCATTGATGCTTTCAAACGACAAGTGAAAGATTATTTTCTCTATCTGATTGTTTCTTCATTTCAAAAATTGGCATTATTTATTTATGTATTTATATAATTATATATATATATATATATATATACTTTTAATTTAGTTTGTTTTCCTTGTATTCCTCGCCTATAATTATTAATATATATCCTAGTATTAGGTACATAATTTGAAATATAATTTTGTTTGATTAATATATATATATATATATATATATATATATATATATATATATATATATATATATATATATATATATATATATATATTACTTTTATATACTTTTAATTTGCAAAAGATGCACACATTTTTTAATTATACAGTACTATCATACCAACTTTGTACAACAATTAGTCCTTTACCTTAAGGTTGTCTTGAAAAGATTGCTCTCAGCAATAAGACCGCCTTACTCTACTTATACAATTGTATCGTTGTGTTTGTAAAATGTTCAACAGTTGCTTAATAAATAATTAAAAAAATATAACAATATCTATATATTTTAGTTGAAATATATCTATATATTTTAGTAAATGTTTATATACTGTATAATGCATATATTGAAAGTATACTTATTCATTCATCAGTATATCCTATAACTGTCCACTGTTGAACAATATATAGATATCGGATCGGTCCCCCATTTTATTATATTTTGCCAGTAGCTGTCACGCTTTCAAACGACAAGCAGAAAGATTATCGGTTTCTTCATTGACTTTATTTATTTTATGATAGTTTGTTTTCCGCAGTTTATTATTAATATATATATATATATATATATACTTTTAATTTAGGCTTTGGAGATGTTTTAACAGGAACGCTGCTGCCTATTCCTCGCCCTCTTTAGTCGCCTCTTACGACACCCACGGGAAAGAAAGGGGTGGCCTATTCTATGCCGGGACTACACGGAACTCATGCTTAATCATAATATGCACTATGTCACTAATGGTGCTGCTCATACGTCGGCAGTCCAGAAGACTAAGGTGTTTATTTTTTTTAATTGATGAAAATGAAGTGATTGCGCGTATTGCTGCCTACGTTATCGGTATAGGTAGGCGGGGCAATAGTGAATGATGATAGATGAGGATCCAACGAGGTTAGTTGTCATTGTGGTGAATTAAACAATAATGACCGAAGGGAGACTTTGTACAAAAGTCGATTGCTTGGGTGCCTCTGTCCCATTCGTGTTTCAACCGTGAAGCAGTTGTGTTTGCATGGCTGTGTTTTGGTTTGAAGGGTGGGATATGGCGTGAATTTACTGGGTACAGAGGAATAACACCTGAGTTCTCAGGAATGGCAACGCATGGGAGGTATCATGGGCGAAACAGTATACTCTGTTATTTCCATGGTACTGCTCATGTCTATAGGCGACGGTTACCACTTTCCATCAGGTGGGCTGTCAGCTTGTTTGTCATTCTAAGTTGTATAAAAAAAGTAATATACTTATAACATCAACAATAGAAACAAACACTGATAAGCTTTAATGTCTATATAAAAATTCTATTACTAATGTCTCGCCGCCGTAAGTTTAAAAACAACAATGTTATTAAATTGAAGTTAGTTGAAAATATATCCACTCCAGTAAAGACGTGTGTTTTATTGCACCTTAAATTGATATTCGAAAGTGAACCTTAATTCAATAAACATACATAGTTTCATTGTGCATTAAAGTTTAATTTTTTTTATACCACTAAGGTGGCAAACAAGCATACGGCCCACCTGATGGTAAACGGTTACCGTAGCCTATGAACGCCTGCAATATCAATATCACGCGCGCGTTGCCGACCCTGAAGAAACCTTTTTACTCCCCTTTTGAAGAATGAATCTTTAAATAAATAAATTCGCCTTCATCGTCACTCCTCCACTCCACATTCCTCACTGGTGCTCCGCCAGCGTATACCGATAGCGCAAACGTGGCTGCCATTTCATTTTTATCCATTAAAAAAGAAACCTTCTGATGTATTGACTAAACTATAATAGTAGCTGTGAAAAATAAGCACCCGAAGCACTATCAAAATAAATTACGCGTGCAAGAATTAAATAGCTATTAGAGATTTATGCTGTATCAAATCGCAGCTTAAGTCAACTAAGACGGTTAAGCTAAATACTCATCTCCCAATACGAACCAAATAATATTGGAAAAAAAAACTGTCATAGTTGAACATTTATAAAAGCTAAATTTAATTTTTTATCCTATTCGTAATCGAATAAAAAGGTAGTAGGTCATTCTTAGCTTTAAATGTAGTCGTTAATCTAAGATATAAAACCCTCGCTGTAAAAGTTGTTCTGAGCATTTGCTCCTGACCCGGACAATCTATTAATTCTAAGTAGAAAATGGAAACCTATAAAGCCCTCTGTTACTTGCGATTAGTTCCGATCGCTTATGTTCTTTCATGGGCCATTGTTTTATCTCCGTCTGTCCAACTTCGCCACACTAACGCTTGGTATAAGTGATAGAAGTTAACGGGATCCGTTGATATTATATTGTATTATAAATAAATAAATAAATAGAAAAAATTAAAAAAAAATACAAAATTAGTACAAAATTCGAATAGTACAAATTTTTCAAAGATTTTAAATTACTTATAGAATGTATTTAAATACTTGTATTTATAGTAACGTTTTTGTTTACATAATTCTCTTCAATCTTTGGCGTTATTTCGCTATTATGTACTAAATAAACCATTTAAAGATACTAAATAGATATTTTGTAGGCTGTATTTTTTGTTTTTATTTTATTCTATAATTAAAGATTGAGTCCTATAAAAAAAAACTGACTTTAAATGTGAAAGAATAACTTTTTTTATTTAATTAAGTTCCAAACTACTGGATCAATTTTAATAAAAAAAATATGGGGCCAATCTGTAAGTAAAAATTCCTTTCAGATAAAAAAAAAATGTTATTCAAAATCGGTCTAGAACCGACGGAGTTATGGGGTAACAATCATAAAAAAATATGTACAACCGAATCGAGAACCCCCTTTTAGAAGTCGGTTAAAAACTTTAAGTTCTTTTAAATAAGTATTTTATATTTTGTGTGTAACTTTAACTTACATATTGGGTGACTTAATAATATATATAAATACATATATACGTATATTATATAATGTTTGTTTGTTTGTGAAAGTGCAAGACTTGTTATAACGACGACAAAGATATTAATTTTGTACTATGTATAATCAATCAGTCACACTGAAAAGATATCCTAAAGAAACAGCCGAAAAATGTTACCTTCAACTCTAACGCTTCCGCCTGTCACTTGAAGCGAGTCAAAGCGGTTTCAATTGAGCACAAAATCGATTCCTAACACAAAGTTCCAGTAAGAAGTTGTAGTTGTAGTGGACAGTTTAGAAAATTGCTCCCTGTTCTGTCGATGTCACTTTAAAATTGTTACTTATCTCTTTTTATTTACTTTAAAAATAAAAACCATTCTCAATACCGTCTTTAAACTATATTAGCTCAGATGTTTTGCTATTTTACGAGTATTAAAAGTAAAAAAAAGTAAAATAAAAAGGAAACTACAAGTAGTTGGCATCTTCGTGTCATCGCCGTGTGATCCCGGCTTAGAATAGGCCACCCCTTCCTTTCACGTGGGTGGCGTAAGAGGTGACTAAGGGAGGACGAGGAATGGGCAGCAACGTCCCTCTTAAGCTTCTTTGATTAAATTATTTCTTTCTTTCTTAAAACATCTCCAATACCTAACTGCGGTTGCCAATCCGGCTGCCAACTATGGCAAGTATTGGCAAAACCTTCTCAAGGGGGTAGGCTTTTCAGGCTGTCCAGCAGCGGACAGTTAAAGGCTGATATGATGATGATGAGTTGGCATCTGCACGCGTACCAATATTCTACTTGTGTTTCTGCCACCAAGCAGCTGTTCTTGTATGATGGGTGAAAATGGTATGGTAACCCCGCCTATGTTAATGGGATACGCTGGCGGTGCACCAGTGAAGGGTGATAGATGAGAATGAAAACAGGTCAGTTAGCCATAGCAATTCATCAGGACTTAGCCATGATAGTCTCCAGGGAGAATCGCGTGGAGGTCGACCTGGTTGGGTATATTGCTAGCAATGGGATTCTCAGTCGCCATTCCTTTCCCCTCTGCTGTTCTTGTATGGCTGTGGTATGAATGAAGATGAAATGGTAACCCTACCTGCGTTATCGGTATACGCGAGGCACCAGTGAGGATGAAAACAGGTCAGTTGGCCCATAGTGGCAGATTCACCAAATTAACCACAATGGATTTCACCAAGTTAGGGGAAACCGCGACCATTTTGGAGGTCGACCTTTGGCATACAGTCTTTCCTACCTACTCTTTAAATAATATAGTATGAAGATAGATTGATTGTAAAAATAACGATTAAATAATGTATCTTTCGTTTCAGATATCACCGCTAAACTGGATCATTGAACATTCACCATGGACTCAGAGAGGTGAGTTTACACTTAATACTGATAGCATCACACTTTTTCCCGTTGGTAATGGATAAGGATGTAATGTGTCCCCATGTCCATTCATTCCGAAGATAAACTAAGATATGATTGGAAGAATTAATTACTTTTTTTTTTATACAACTTAGAATGTCAAACAAGCTAACGGCCCATGATGGACAGTGGTAACCGTCGCCTATAGACATGAGCAGTACCATAGACATAACAGAGTACACTGTTTCGCCCATGATACCCCCCATGCGTTGCCATTCCTGAGGACTCAGGTGTTATTCCTCTGTACCCAGTAAATTCACGCCATATCCCACCCTTCAAACCGAAACACAACTGCTTCACGGTAGAAACACGAATGGAACAGAGGTACCCAAGCAATCGACTTTTGTACAAAGTTTCTCTCTCTGGTAGTTCAAATGGGGGGAGAGGAGATTGTTAGTAATTGGGATTAGTAGCCCCATTGCTAACAATATACCCTGTCAGGTCGACTTCCTCGTGGTTTCCCGTGGAAACCATCGTGATTGACTTATTGTTAGATTCGTCACGGTGGGCTAACTGACCTGTTTCATCCTCACCTATCACCCCTCACTGGTGTCCAGCTAGCGTATACCGATAGCGCAGGCGAAGAGATCGTTGATTAGCTATAGAGCAGCTCATCGTTTTCTCTTTGTCTTTTTCTGACATAAGCTACAGAAACGAATTTTAATGACTTATTTGACAACTTTAAAGACAAAAGTCTTTAACCAGTGTGTGTTGCAAGTGGGGCTACCATTCCATTATCATCCATTAAAAAAAAATTATATTCAAATATTGGTCTATCGTCGGACTGCAGCTGTGACGTATATTGTGACGAATTTTTTTTAATGAGTGATAATGGAATGGTAACCCCGCCTGCGCTATCGGTATACACTGGCGGGGTACCAGTGAAAGATGACAGATGAGGATGAAAGCAGATCAGGTAGCCCAACCTGACGAATTCAACTAGAATTAAACACAATGGTTTCCAGGGGGAACCATGTGGAGTTCGACCTGACAGGGTATATTGCTAGTAACGGGGCTATTTGATCCCGTTACAAACAATCCCTTTCCCCCATACTGTGACGAATGTCCGTGCGTTTTTTAAGGCACTTTCTTCCATATACAACCACTCTTTGGAATCGACTTCCAGCAGCAGTATTTCCGAACCGATACAACATTATAACCTTCAAGAAAAGAGCATATTCCTTTTTAAAAGGCTGGCAGCACACCTGCAATGCCTCTGATATTGCGGGTGGTCATGGGCGGCGGTAGTCACTTACCATTAGATGAGTCGCAGGCTCGTTTGCCCCCTGTGTGACGCTGTGACGCAAAGCTTCATACGCCCTTTGAAGACTTCCGAATGAAGTCAAAATAATATACATAGTTTATGAAATTCCTGTTATATATATATAAAACTTTTTGTCTATTTCTATTCTGAGTATATCCACTAAATAAATACTAAGTACTCGTAACATTGTACAGTAGGCGGTATGACTATAAAATGAATATTCAAGTGTTCCCACGCTGGGTTATTGGTCTTTCAAAGGCACACTTTCATTACGAAACAAATGCACAGTGTACAGCAACTAAAACGAATAATACTAAAGCGTGCTGGATTACCATTTTAAATTTCATTCTAAAACGATGTTGTTAAAGTTTATGTTAATATTTCAAGATTCTTGAAAGGAATACAAACGATGTTAATGATATTTCAAGCCCACTTGAAAATCTAAGGACTTGCACAAAGTACTTGAACGGTTTGAATACCTAGTATCCATAGTAGAAGTCCTTAGGGTCTACCATGAAATGTTTTCCGAAATTTCGGGGCCCAATGAAGTAAAAATTTGATAATAAAATTACATAATATATACTGTTTAAAAAATATTTAAAATGTCAAAATATCGTTCATTTGGATGTATCATATTATAGGATTTATAATAAACGAAATGTTAAGCTCAATTTACTGGACCGATTTCGGTATAAACAAAAACACGAAATTGAATCTGAAAATTCTAAATATAATTTCATGGTAGAGCCCCTAGTTGGTTCGACACTAGATGGCGCTGTGCAATATGTCCAGTGTTATTATTATTTTAAGAGCGTTCATTTTGTTTATTGAAGTGTGGCAACGTCGCAATTATTTCTCAATTTTCAAAAAAATATTTGGAATAATGGAGAAGACCAGAACACACATGAAACGAACATTAACCTTTTATTATATCCTTAAAATTTTTATTTATAATTTTTAATGTTAAAAGTTTCGTAAGCATACAGTCAGGCTCTCGCTCGCGTCTCATCCACTCATGGATAAGGATCACGAATTGATCCCAAAACTAGTCGAGCTTTCTCAATCTAATTACAAGTAAGTTAAACAGCTATTTATTACATTAAAATCTTATTATTATGCCAATAAATAATTATCAAAATTGGTTTTGAATTGATTTTTGATTCGGAACGTAATCACACAAAAATAAAAAACAAAAAAAAAACTAACAACCTCCTGTTTTGGTAAGTAACTTAAAACATAGAACAAAATTTACGGAGATCGTGTGTTAAATAAGTGGGAATTCAAAGTGAATTGAACGGAAATGATGTGAAAACATGTTTTTACTTTGAATTGGATTTTATATTGGTATGTGTAAGCTTTTAGAATTGCTTCTATCGTCACTCTCGCCGTAAGCACAATGAATGGCTATCAAAAACCCATCAGCATTCACTGGCCAACAATAGCTACCCTCATCTCGAGCCAAATAAGATATACAAGTTCCAAGTTATATTGTATCGGAAAAATTAAGAATTGATAAATTATAACGTTATCCCGTCGATTCCTTTATTGAAATAGAAATATTTTTCTACGCTGTATTCATGGTAGATATACATACGGACCATATGATGGTAAACAGTTAATGTGGGCGGAAAAAGATTGTTAGTAATGGGTTCTAGCTGACTCATTACCAGCAATTTACCGTATCAGGTCAACCTCCACGCGGTTCTCCCTGGAAACCATCGTGGTTAATTCTAGTGGAATTCGTCACGACCTGTTTTCATCGTCACCTATCATCCCTCACTGGTGCCCCGCCAGTATATACCGTTAGCACAGGCACATGTTACCGATCCATTATCATCTATAAAAAGAAACAGTTGACGTGAGAGGGGGTGCGGGGGAAGGGGATTATTAATAATGTGATCTAACACCACCATTGCAATATACCCTAACAGGTGGACCTCCATGCCGTTCCCCTTGGAAACTATTATAGTTATTTCTTGTTGAATTCGTCATGATGAGCCAATTGACCTGCTTTTATCCTCACTTACCATCATCCGTTACTGGTGCCCCGTTAGTGAACTTAGCGGATACGTAGTTACCGTTTTATTTTTTAATAAAAAAAAGGATTACTGTAGAGTCACCAGAGAGCGTCTTTGTACAAAAGTCGTTTGCTTGGGCACCTCTGTCCCATACGTGTTTCTACCGTGAAGCAGTTGTGCTTGTATGGCTGTGTTTCGGTTTGAAGGGTGGGATATAGCACTAAATTTACAAAGTACAGAGAAATAACACCTGAGCCCTCAGAAATGGCAACACATGGGGGGTATCATGGGCGAAACAATATAGTCTGTTATGTTCATAGTACTGCTCATCTCTATAGGCGACGGTTACCACTTTCCATCAGGTGGGCCGTCAGCTTGTTTGCCATTCTAAATTGCATAAAAAGAGAGGGGGATGAAAGGTTGGTCATGGAGACTATTCTAATTACTAGTGAATTAATTACAATGGATCAAATGACCTAACTTCCTTCTCATCTACTATTCCTCACTGATGTCCCGGCAGCGCACACGGATAGCGGAATTACCATTAATTTTCCATCCCATTAGGAGAATGGTTACAATACGCTCTAGAACATTAGGTACGCTTTGCCGACATTAAAAGAACCTTTTATGCTTTTTTTTTTGTTCAATATACAGGAAAGAATTGATGTGTAAAAAAATCTCTATGGTATGTATATATTTGTATATAGTATATATTTGATATTTATATTATATAAACATAGTGTCTCTATATTTAATTAGAGTAAAAATATAGGAGAAAGTATATTTAATTTAACTTATTTATTTATTTCAAGCAATATGTGTCCATTTTTTATTACTAAGTGTACTTGATAACTATGTAAATACAAATAATTTTTCTTTATTGTAAACAGTTAAGAAAAATGAATTTTAAACGTAATGTACAAAGGCGAGTTTATTTCTAATTTCAAGATTTCTTCCAGCAAACCTTTTTAAGTGAATAAAATTGTTATTTAAAAATAAAAATTTAATTACTTATAATGACCTAATCCTGTCGGCAAGTATTCTTACGCGAGGATTAACTAATTTATTTCCAAACATATTCAAGATACTGTTGACTTTATTATTATAGGTATATATAATATTTTCAAATCGAGAAAATAAAACGATTCAAAATTCTTATATTTGAAAAGAAATAAACAATTCATAATGATTCGTAATGATGCTTATCTTTACTGCATACTTTGATTTATATATATATATATATATATATATATATATATATATATATATATATATATATATATATATATATAAAAATATATATATATATATAAAAAGGTTACGATTTAAAAGTGCTCGTAAATAAGTCTATTTAAATAAAGATAACTTGAATTTGAATTTAAAATATGGCTCGCATACCTGATTTCACAATTTCAGGTGACTCTACTTTATTTTACTTTCACTATTTATCCTGTGTAAATTTAAAAAAAAAAGAAAAGGATTTTCCTTAATTGGCTATACCGGGAATCCAGCCGGCACCTAATTAACACAAAGCCACCGCGCCCACCACTGCGCTACGGAGGTCATCAATAACAATTGATTGAAAAAGAACAATTTGATTGATTGATAAATAATATCATGATAACTTAAACACTAGACCAATTAAGAGATTGCAGCTCTTCAAATCC